CGGAACCGGCCCGGAACCCGTTGCGGACGGGCTGTTTTTACGCGGACCGTTACCGGGCTCATATGTTGGCGGGCCGACCAGGCCCGACCTACCCGAATTGACACCTCTAGACCCATATCGGACTGTGAATAACGTTGAGGTTTCGTTTATTTGCATTTACCGCCAGCCAGGGTTTTCACATGGAAAGGGGAAATCTATTTAACTGGTCCTCTAATTTATTGCTTCAGTGTTAACTACTTGGTCCCAACCATTTTTCTCATAATTGCGCAGTTGTCGATAATTTAAGCCTCTATTTGATTTAGATAAAATTAATAAAAAATAATGATTATGNTTAAGCCTCTATTTGATTTAGATAAAATTAATAAAAAATAATGATTATGGTTAAAATTTAATCAACATTTTGGTAAAACAAAACATGAGTTAAATCTTGATAATATGGTCATCATATGTTTAATTTTATAAATAAAGAGAAATTTTACTCACCTATTTGAATTAATAACTAGAATCTTGAAGTAAATCATATTTCCACAAGGATTACGTAACAAACTAACAAAATCTAAGAGTCTGTTTGGTAGGGATTTTTGGGAGAAAATTTGATTTTTGAATAATGATATGATGGGAAATGTGTGGTGGAAAAAGAAGAAAAAATTATTGATGTGATGAAAAATATTATTTTATTGAAAAATGTGTGGTTGGAAATAAGAATTGATTTACGGTAGAAAATCAAAATCCATACCAAACAGGCTCTAAGATAGTTTCGAACAATGGGACCATTTGTCAACCACAATAAGAAGTGAAAGAGACAATATGCTCATTCAAACTTCAAAAATATTGGAGACCATCTTGTTACCAAGACAATAGTTTAGGCACTGTTCTAAAATGCGGAATGCGTTGCGAAGCGTCGAGACCGAGAATCAAGAATCACAAGTTTAGACGTGTCAATGCGAAGAATAAGCGTCATAATGCGTTTTGTATTTTTAAGGCATTAAATATATTTTTATATTAAAAAAATAAATTTTTTAATATATATAAAAAAACAGATTTAGAAAAAAAAAAGGTGATTATACTGACTAATGCGCGCCTAGGCGTCTTTTAGTTGGAAAACGCATTTTTCCCATATTTCTCGAATTCGACGCATTTTGATCGCGCGTCGCGCCGCCTTTTCCCATTTTTTAGAACAACCAGTTTAGGTATCATACCTTTTTCTGTAAATATATTTTTGTTTCCCTTTTTGGGTAAGTTACTCTATGATAATTGATGAAACAAAGATGTTGACACATGGTTCTATATAATAAGAAAAACTTATTCGTTCTGTTACATAGGTTCATGGGGAAATAAAGAAACATGCACAACCAACCAAATATTTGTATGGAACAAGATTTTGTTTTGGATTATCCAGATGAAACACAAACTTAGATTGGACAAAACTATAAAGACAACCGAACAACAGAGCATCACAACATAGGAAAATTACAAGATGATTTCAGTATTCCCACTTCTTGAGCTCCATGCCATCCGGAGGGCTTCCTACTACCTTCTTTGAACCCACATCTTTCCAATTCGTTGATAGCACTGTCCCATGTGACTCCACCTGTGTAAGGGTTGGTTATCATTGAATAGAAATATGGAAATTAGCAAATCTTGAAATCGGAAAGATGGAAATCAAATATTTGTCTTTTTAAAACGGATTGGATCAAAAACAATTCTTGAATCCCATCAATCAAATCATTGTTTCAAAAACTTGGAAGGTTTACGTCCCAAGACATTTTAGGCGTGCATTCATTTATCTTGCCTCTTCCTGAGTTTTTAGTTACTGGCCTATCTTTATTCGTGCTATTTCTTATAGCCTAGAACATTTTATGGTTCGTTTATTTTCTTGTTTCAACCTTTACCTGAAAATAATAGTTATGAGGAAAATAGAGGAATCAGATATGCTGAGTATCTCGTAAGTTTAAGACATCAAATTGTAAGTAAACATAATTTATAAGTAGAATTCTAGGTCATTTCCGTTTCTAGCAGTAAATAAAATTTTATTAATGGGATCACTAATTTGTATTATAGAAACTATTTTATATGTTTGTTTTATTATGAATTTTCAAGAAAGTTTGTGATCTATATTATTTAGCACATTTATATTTTATATGCCTTTTACGCCTCGTAAGTCTTTTTAAACATTGGTAAGAGATGTGATTGCAATAGAAATTTACCATGTCCAAATATAAAATTCCCTATAAAAATTAAAAATAAGAAGTGAATAGTGATCTTACAAAAGATTTGCTCATGGCTCTTTTTGTGTCCTCATCAGCATCTTTATATATGTCACGGAAAAATTTGTTCAAAGCTGCATCACCATCGAGCTTCTCTTCTTTTTCCTGAAAAACCACCAAGGAAACATGACCATACTGACTGCCCTCATTTCTAAGTCAGAATAAGACATGAATTCAGAATTAGATGACAGAGAGAAATTTGTTTAAAGATATACCTCCTTTTTGACTTGGGCCTCCAATTTATCCCAATCTACTCCCTTTGGTTTCGAAGAAGGGTATGTGGGTCTTTGGATACCTGAAAAACAAGATAGCACAAAATACACTTTGTATCTTGAAACTTGATCCTATCCAAAAAATATGAATTTGATGCCAATGAAAGTAGTTGGGGTGCGGAAGGATTACTTTTCCAGCATAAGTACCTGATGAGACAATTGTTCTTTGTACAACTGGAACATCCATCCTAAACTCAAGGGATGTCCAGTGTACAGCATCAGCTTTTGCAAGACGAATTTCAACTTTTGTAGACATTACTTCATATCTACATTTCGAAGGAATTATCTGTTTGCCAAATATAAAATCATCAAACAACAAAAAGAGTTATCAACAAATGCAGAAGCTCTTAATACCACATAATAGCAAAACCAAGGAAACAGTTCGCAGAAAGCTGCTACCTGTGTAGAAGGGTGACAGGCAAGGTAGCATGTTTGGCTAAAGCTTTAAAGTTACTTTCAAGTACTATTTTTAGCCGAATGTGATTGAACTTTGTAAAATAATTTTTTAGTGTGTGTTGGGGGGTATAATTCAGAAACTTACTTCTAAAATGGTACTCTAAAAGTTTTTTTCTAAATGTTTTTCAAGCTCTAAATAGATAAATGCACTACTCTTAACAACAGGAAACTTGCTACATCTTCTAACTGAGGTCCTAGGAGAGTTATCCCTGACAAAAATTTAAATCTGACAAAAACGGAATTGCGTTCAACAACACAAAGCAACACATTCAGTTCAAACTTCAAACAATGGTGTCAAAAGCATGAATTAACGCAGTACCTTCCCAAATAACCGAGGTTGAAAATGATATGCTTCTTCACCAGGTAGATCAATGGTAACACTGAGCTGTATTAGTTGGCATGTTGTCAGCCACTGTGATTCTAAGACAATTTAAAAAATGATGCAAAATGAGACGAATGGATGTTGTACGGACTTACTATTTGCTCACCGAAGTCAACCACGATATTCTTTTCTGGCACACGCTTTGCAAATATTGTAACAACAATTTCTTCTGGCTTCTGATAATATTCATGCCTGCAATACAAACTATTAGAAAACACAAAAATAAATAGAAAAGACGCGCCTCTAGAACATTAAGTGATAAGAATTAAATTATATTTGGCTGAGTTTATAGATACTCAAGCCACTTTTTATACACACATTTTGAAGGATGCACATTATTATCCACTATTCATTTCTATCTATTTATGATTTAGTACTTGTTTGTCTTCCATTTTGGGAGAAGAAATAGAGTTCTAAATAGTATTTTTTTAAAATATGAGTCCCAAATTGTTATCAATAGTAACTTTTAATCAAAAATATATAATATTTCTAAAGAGGAAAGAAGAATCATCATGATAGAGTGTCGGTATCCAAAAAGAATCCGACACGTGTCGGACACGGACACGTTACCCTAGTTGAGGTATCCTGTTACATGTTTGGACTAGGGTGATATTATCTTTCTGTTCTAGTAAGTTGTTGATGGCTCTGACTAGTTTGACAAAATGTCAAAATGTGGTGTGAGAGTCTTGGTTAATCAATTGATTATTGTCTGATTTAGAACTAGTAATATTTGTTAGCAGCCATTTACCATATACAGTTTGTTGTGAACCCAATGTTATGTCCATGGTGTATTGGTGATACATAGACAGCGAGGTGATTATTTTGTGTTCTACTCGACCCTGAAAAACTAGGGATTTCTCCATAGGTTCATCTACGGAGGGTGACTCGGACTAAAATCAGATTTGTTCAATTTGCATGTGTTGGTTTTCATCTGAAAAAAGTTTACTATTTGTTCTTTTTCACTTTTTTTGGTGGCCAAGACCCAAGAGTACTTGACGCTGTTAATTAAAATTCAACATTCAAATTTTCTTTCTTCAAACCATGGTACACCTACTATTTTACTGATATTTTATCTCCAGGTCAAAGTGCAAGCAAGAATGCTTCAGACAGTTCTCAGATGGAATTTGAAGCTAAATCTGCTCGGGATGGTGCATGGTTAATCTTCTAGGCCATGTCATTTATAGTTTTTATGGACTTCTATTTACCACCTTTGTCCTGGTATCCTTTCAGTGAATGACAATGACTATTAATTATTATTTTTTTTTTTCAGGTATGATGTTGCAACTTTCTTATCACATAGATCTTTAGAGACTGGTGATCCGGTACTTGGAACTTAATTTCCCACTTAAAAGTTCATAGAAGGAAGCTTCTAGCTTATTCTATTGTAATATTTAATGGACATTCTTGTTAGATTATGGCTACTCTTTACAGTGTATGAAGTTTGTCAGTCTAATATGTCTCATGAAATAGAACTATTTTCTTGATTTGTTAGGTCTTAGATTGATTTTCCTGTCCCTTTGTAGATCCTACTACGCACATTGTTATTTTTTGGCATTCTGTTGATTTAACCATCGAAAACTGTCCTTCCTCTTAACCTTGTGTTTTAGGAATCAGCAACTACAAGCATTAAGCTATTTGACTTTCACAATTGCTCTGAAATTTTCTCCAATCCGCTTCTCTTCCCTCTTTATGATTTGAATTATGCCATTCACTCCAGGAAGTTCTGGTTCGTTTTTCGGGTTTTGGACCAGAAGAGGATGAATGGGTCAATGTTCTCAAGAATGTGAGACAACGGTCACTCCCATGTGAATCATCGGAGTGTGCAGCAGTTCTTCAAGGAGATTTGATTCTTTGCTTTCAGGTGCATTTTCTATTAGCAATATCAAGAAAGTAAAAAGTGTGAATAGGTTCGTGAATAAGTTTAATATTAGTTAGATCTTATCTTTCATATTGTAGGAAGGCAAAGAGCAGGCCCTCTACTTCGATGCACGTGTTCTTGATGCACAAAGGCGGAGGCATGATGTAAGAGGATGTCGTTGTAGATTTCTGGTGCGATATGAGCACGATCAGTCTGAGGTATTTAATTACATAATGCAAAGGAATCTCTGAATTATGTATCTAAATTCTATATCATAAAACTTCATTTCGCATCTTTATGATACGATGTATACGTGTTTTTGGATTCGACACCTTCCTCTTTTTCCATGTGAAGGAAATTGTTCCGCTGAGGAAGATTTGCCGTCGGCCTGAAACTGATTACAGGTTGCAGCAAATTCATTCTGGATCTACTGCATCTATGAATGCACAAAAAACAGGTACAGATCCTCGAGCTGCAAACTCTTTAGCAGTCAATGCTTCAGCAACAACACCACAAAAACTTCCCACACCTTTGCCTGCAGGTGAATCTGAAGCACCGCCAGCGAAAATTGCCTAGGCTGAAAGTTTGATTTCTGTCGGAAATTCAGAACCTTAAAATATCTGTTAAGAAGCTGTTTTTAAATATGTTTGGATAATTTTCTAAAAGTAATTCAAGATGTTTTTAGAAGAAGTTGGCTCAAGGTGATTTTCTCGTGAAGCTCTTGTAAGCAAAGTAGAATTCGAAGCCATGCCATATGGCATTGAGTTCGGGTCTCCACCCACCCCCTTTCCAACCCCGTTGTGCCATCTATACACTTGCCCTTCAAGATTCCACCCCTTTTGGATGTCTACCGTGTCGGACCTTACAAATTTCGACCGGGATGGGCCCCGAGTTAGAAGAATCCCATTATAACATTCTATGCTTGGATACCTAATTCTTATACACGCGAGAGAATGCAAATGACTTCCCACCTGAATTCACTTTTCCATAAGTTGGAGAATCTCAAAAAAAAAAAAAAAAAATTAAAAATAAATCAGCTTTTTTTGTCATCTAGTTGGGTGGTCAAAACCCTTCTCTGACCCATTCATTCATTTTAACTTTTAACTTAACTATTAATTATTCCAAAAGCACAATGTTGTGTGTGCCGCTGCAAGTCTCAGCCTAGTCTTAGGTCTGTTTGACGCATTGACCCACTCTCAACCCAAGCGCGTGATCCTTAAAGGGAACATTTTGCATGTATCTGATCTACACGAACCGAAAATGCGCGTGATATCAATATATTCTTATTTTCACGTGCATGACTGACTGCATAACGGCTCTTTTAATTGTTAAATTAAATTGTGTTTGCAGCTAATTAAACTTTTGGTAAGTTTAAGATACTTAGGGGTGGTTACGGAACGGGACGAGACGCTCTCAAGGATTCTTGGAGGGTCGGGATGAGATTAAAATATCTTGATTTACTTATTTTTTATTTTTAATAAAATTTATTAATTTTTTATATACGATTTGACAGAGCGAGGACAATGTGTTGAGTACAAAAATGTCTATCCTTTTCTTAAAATTGGTCCCTTTGTTACTGTCCATATTATCTGGCCACGTTCGATGACATTTAGGACACGAAATATCACATTCTGATATGACCACAATAATAAAGTTGCCTTAATCCGTCCACTATCCCATTATAGTTCCAATATCCCATATTCGTTGCCAGTCTATTGTCAATTTTGAAGATTTGTTACTTCGATAGGTTTTGCTACAAGTACCTGGGGGTTTACACCTTGGGTTACCCGACCCCACCGCCCCCCCTCACAATGAGGTGGAGCCAGAGGCGAATTAAATAATCGACGGGCCCCCATTGTGAGGGGGGGGGGGGCTGAGTACAAAAATGTCTATCCTTTTCCTAAAATTGGTCCCTTTGTTACTGTCCATATTATCTGGCCACGTTCGATGACATTTAGGACACGAAATATCACATTCTGATATGACCACAATAATAAAGTTGCCTTAATCCGTCCACTATCCCTTTATAGTTCCAATATCCCATATTCGTTGCCAGTCTATTTTCAATTTTGAAGATTTGTTACTTCGATAGGTTTTGCTACAAGTACCTGGGGGTTTACATCCTGGGTTACCCGACCCCACGCCCCCCCCCCCACAATGGGGGGCCTGTCGATTATTTAATTCACCTCGGGCCCACCTCATTGTGAGAGGGGTGATGGGGTCGGGTAACCTTGGGTGTAAACCCCTGGGTACATATATCATTTCCCTACTTCTTTGTGTAAACTTTCAAGTTTTTGAATACTTGTTACCTATCGGTAGGAAGTGACGTGTTAAAAATTATATTCGAACAAAAAAATGTTGATCCATATGCTTTGAGAATTTAAGTTTTATCTAATATGTATCTTAATAATGAAGATCTTAAGTTCAAGCGAAATTAAGAAAAGTAAGATTGATCTATTGGTATTGACTACTTTATGATGTTTCCTTTCTTTGTCATTCTTGTAACTATCACTTGTAGTTAGACAACGAGTTTTGTCGGGATAGTTGTTTCTCAAAATTGGTAATCAATCCAAAAAATGTCAAGGGTGACTTTCTTTCGAACGTGAGCACTCGACAACTAATGTGTGGAACATGGGATAAGTGAAAAACTAAATAAAATAATCTATAACACAATGTATCATTAGTGGATAGAAATGTCTTTCAATCGAAGTCTCAAAAACGTATGGAGGAAATCTTTTGTGCTGGAGTTACAAATAATAAATTTCATTCAACGCGAAAAAATAAAATACCATCTCCGAGACATGTTAATATTAAGTGAGTGTTTGATGTAGATTAAAATTAGATTTTTAGTAGATTGTGATAGAAGTTTTTGAAATGTGTGGTTGAAAAGCCGTGAAATTCATGAAAGATATGATTAATATTGATTATTTGAATTTAACTTCTTTTAAAATTTAATTTTAATCTGAAACAAACAGGTCCTAAATTTAAGCAGTGCACAATTGGATGTTGCTATAAGATAAGATTACGATACTATCAAACCCAAAAGGCGTAATGATATAAAAGATAGGGGGATTCATACTAAATAAAAAATAATTCTAGTCTATTTTCATGTCTGATAATTTGATGTTTGGACTCATTTTTGCCTCGCCATTAGAGCTAACTTCCAAGTAAAGAATCCATTCACTGAATATATCAGTATTCAATACCCCACCCCACCCCACCACTACCCTACTTACCCCACCCCCACCCCACCACACCTTAAACACCATTGTTAACCTTTACTACATTCATCCAAGGCTAAAAAACATAGCAGTAAAAATCAGTCCAAATAAGAAAAAATGGACTTGGATAGACCACATTTTCGGAGTGCAAGCATAAACTCTACAAGTGAGCTTCTCATTTGCTTTGCTTCTGGCTTAACATCTTCATCCTCCATGAAATTTTCTAAGTCAATCCTTAGCCCGGGCCGTGCCCGCGACGGTTCAATCTCTCTCTCCACCTCTCTCAGCCGCCGCCTCCGCAATGGAAGCCTCAAAGGTGGTCAAGCATCGCCGTTTTTAGCTAACAACGGTAAAAAAAGAGGATGCGGTTTTGAAAACCCAGAGCCCTCTTCTCCTAAAGTCACTTGCATTGGCCAGGTAAGAGTGAAGACTAAGAAAAGGGTGAAGCAAACCAGAAAGGGAAATGGAGAAGTTGGGGTGCACCAAAATGAAGAAAGAATTTGCAGTGCACATTATCAACATCAACAAGACAGGAATCAGAGATGGGTTCATTTACCAGTTACAATTTGTGAGTCATTGAGCTGTTTGTTTCCGTGCAAATCTTCGTGTTTTTCAACGAGTGAAAGGGAGAAGGTAGAGAAGGTAAACGGATCCGGTGTAAATGAGGGTGGACATATTTCATGCGGTGCGGTGTTCACCAGGTGGTTGGTTTCTTTGAACGACGGCGAGGGAGGGAGGAGGAGGGAGATTGAACTGGTGATGGGCGGCGGAGATGAGGAGGAGACGACGGAGATAAGGGAGAAAATGTCAATGAGGAGTTCAAGGAGACATGTTTTTGAGGATATTGAGATTAAGGATGATAGAATTGAAGTAAATGGTCAGGTTTTAGAAGGAGAAGAGGAAGCAGCTAGAGTGAGCATTTGTTTACCTCCTAAGAATGCTCTTTTGTTGATGAGATGCCGATCTGATCCCATGAAAATGGAGACTCTTGCTAATCGGTTTAGTTGGGATGGAAATGCTGCTCCTGAAGAAAACGATGAAGACGAGGACGAGGATGTTGATGAAGACCAATCTCAAGTTCAAGACGAAGTTTTTATGGTAGAGGAACCAAATATTGACGAACGTGTTTCAATTGATTTTGACAGGGAACAAGAGATCTTACTCAGACAAGAAATTTTTGACTTGGTAATGCATATGGCAGAGTGTGAGGAAGTAGTAGTAAAAGAAACAGAGGCATTGGTACCAGAAGAAGAAGAGGTTGAGTCGAATATGTCCTCATTTGAAGCTCTCTTGGATCAAGAAAATACAGAGAATTCTGAAAATTCCTGTCCAGTTCAAGAGAAGGAACAATTTCAAGACAGCCCAATTTGCCATTCATCTCCATCTACAGAATCAGATACTGCAGATAGTGAAGAAGTAGCCATTGTTGACGAAGCTGCATTGGAAGAATCACAAGAAACAGAAGCAGAGGAAAGAAGTGAAGAAAATCCCACAACAGCCCAATTCAAATTCGAGCCCGAAAATGAAGAACAAAAGACAGTACCAGCAATATCAATAGTATCAGAAACTAAGGAACCGGAAAATCAAGAAACAACTATTACAACATTCGAAAAAGATAAAGAAAATCCGAGGTTGCCTGAATGCTTGTTGTTAATGATGTGCGAGCCCAAGCTTTCAATGGAGGTTTCAAAGGAAACTTGGGTCTGCAAAACAGATTTCATCAGATGGCTCCCAGAAAGGCCACCAAAAAAACCCACAAACGGAGGCACCTGTGATCATGAGCCCATCAAGAAGAGGCTCAGTACTGACTCTAAGCCTAAGTTTATAGCACCGCCGGTAGCAAAGAAAAACAGTGAGAGCAATCTACAGCCTCGGCGGTCGTCGTGCTCTCTGCCGGCTGCAGCGGCAGCGTCCATAGCCACCATGATTGAGCAGAAACTGGTGAATTCAGCGTCATATGAGCCAGTTGAGCTCACCCGGTGCAAGTCCGAGCCAATGAAAACTGCTGCAGCTAAGCTCATGCCTGAATCATGTTTCTGGAAAAATGCCGTCGGGAAACTCGAGCCTCACACAAAGGCAACAGTCGGCGTCGGCGCCGGCGCGGCTGGAGTCGAATTCTGAGCAAACCTAATTATTAAGCTGCGCTGGCAAAAAAATTATAGTTTTACATTATTACAGAGGTAAGTAGATCTTGCACAGTAATTTTCATAATGGATCCTATGAAGCATGTCCTGTCTGTAAATTTAGTTGGGTAATTTTTTTCATCTTTTACTTTATTATAATTTTCCTTCTTATCTACATTCAAACCATTAATCGTATTTGACGTCAATTTTTGAACTTTAACATTTTATGTCTGTTTGCTAAATTGTAAGGTTTAACTGAAAATCTTAACGATTTGATGACTTGGCACATTAATACGTATGATTTTCAGTATAAAATATACGTCAAATTCAATCGGTAGTTTGAATGAAAATATTTTCAATAACGAGTTTAAAATAAATACAAAATTCAATTATCAATATTTGGTCTCATTTTCATCACATATTTTTCAAATAAAATATTTTTACACATAAGTTCATATTTTTTTTCTTACTTTTTAATAAAAAAATTATTTTACACATAATATATTCTCAAAAAATCTCTAGCAAATGTTAAATTGTCTATTCAACATGTCCCATATATTGTCCGATGTGGCCAAGGATGTTGTAGAAACATGTGAACTTTGGATTCATATTCTTAGTTTTTTGTAAAATCATTGTTTGTTTGAAACGCATTAATTTATTTTATGATTTGTTATATTATCATTTTCAACAATACATTTAAACAATAAAATATTCTCTATTTTTTAATCACACATTCTCCTAAAATACTTTTCAAAACTCATTTTTTCCAATTAATGATAATCAAACAAGCAGTGAAATGGTAGCCATTTTGAAAATTAATTACTGTTTTCCCATCTCTTAAATTTGGTTGTGCTACGTGTACATAACAACTTATATCATGGGTGGACCTAGGGGGGTCCTGGGGGGCAAGTGCCCCCCCAACTTTTGAATTTTTTTTTTATTTTTTTTTTAAATCGGGTTTGGTATCTATTGAAATCTAAATTTTAATCTAAATCAAAGTTAACAATTAATTTTAATAACATATTTTATGGAATCCATAATTGTTTTAACTTTTATCAAAATTTATTAACAAATTGATTTTAATCTCCACCAGACAAGGGCAAAATCATAATAAATTTGAATTTCGATAACATGTTAATTTTAAAAAATCTCCGACGATCATACGCTAATCGAATCTACAAATTGCTTATGTCATCTCCAACCTTATTTCGAGAACTACATTATGGACATATCGAATAGTCTAAATATATATCGAAAATAGTTGAAAACACGTTAAACGCAAGTCTTAAAAAAAGATGTTTAACTCGCATTTTTAAAAAAAAATTCAATTATTTCATTAACATTTATTATTTTTACAATACAATTTCTCAATGTAATTTTCATTTCAGTATAAAATATACGTCAAATTGGTCGTTTGAATGAAAATATTTTCAATAACGAGTTTAAAATAAATACAAAATTCGATTATCAATATTTGGTCTCATTTTCATCACATATTTTTCAAATAAAATATTTTTGCACGTAAGTTCATATTTTTTTCTTACTTTTTAATAAAAAAATTATTTTACACATAATATATTCTCAAAAAATCTCTAGCAAATGTTAAAATTGTCTATTCAACATGTCCCATATATTGTCCAATGTGGCCAAGGATGTTGTAGAAACATGTGAACCTTTGGATTCATATTCTTAGTTTTTTGTAAAATCATTGTTTGTTTGAAACACATTAATTTATTTTATGATATTCGCATTTTTTTTAAAAAAAATTCAATTATTTCATTAATATTTATTATTTTTGCTATACAATTTCTCAATGTAATTTTCATTTAAAAATTTAATTATTTTATTAACATTTATTATTTTTGTGATTCAAATTTCTTAATGTAATTTGCATTATTTTATTAGAAAATTTATATAGGATATGACATCAAAAATTTTCGAAATTTTACATCCGAAAAAGTCATATTCCATGTAAATTTTCGAATGCAAAATTACATAGGGTATGATTTTTTTGACCGTAAATTTTCGATTGTAAAATTTCTCCCAATTTCTTTACAAGTTCGATTGTGCCATCCTAACTTTTAAGGTCTACGTCCGCCCGTGACTTATATCATAGTTTATTTATAAATGATGTAGCGAGATTTAATTGAATCAAAATCTCATAAATCAAATAGTTTTCCCACTTACATTTTGATACATAATCATTATGTAAAATATTATGTAAGTATTTATGTACAAGAAGCATTTTTCATTAAAATTAACGATTGTGCTACATGTATATCAGAACTTACATATTTATTTCTCAATAGATAAAGTCGCGAGATTTGATTGAGTTGAAATCTCATCAACCAAATGAAAAATCTCAATTTCTTTTTACCGTTAACCAACATTATATAAGCACAATCTTTTTGAAGTAGTGAAGAGATCGACAATTCTAATTCAATTTACTATCATCTCATTAATTTGTACAGCATAGGTTGTTTCATTGAAAGAATTGAAGTTGTTGGCCATTAGCAGTCGAAACATTTAAAAGATTTGGACAGAGATTCCCAACCTTTTTCCATTGTCACTACGATGCTTTAATTTTGTGGCAATAATGAATAGAAAGTGAAATCCACACAAGGACACGATGGGGGCCAGCAGCTTTATCATTCATCCATTATTAATAAAATTTGCATGTTATTGTTACCTATAATTTTTGATTTTGAGGCTTTTTGGACACTTCTTGCATGTCACATTTTGTGTAATGATGTAAAGTAGGTCGTGCGAGTCGATATTATTGCTTGTGTTGGTTACTAAAAAAAATAGAATTTTATTTAAACGTGTAGGTGAAAACATTAAAAAATTATTTTTCGAGTTCAGTTAAACTCTTTTGTGGTTACAGCTGCACTCGATCTGAAATATCAGGACCTGACCTCAGAGTTGTGGACTACGTCGTGTTGAGCTCAGATATATCGATTCACTTTACTTTACACCTACGTTATACACTTGGACTTTTAAGATATGTTTAATGTACTTTTCGGTAAATTTGGTGTGAAATTAACTGTCTTTTTGACACCCGCTATTTTCAAAATACATATTTTCTCTCTCTTCTTTTCAACCACACATTTTTCAGTAAAAATAATATTAAACGCAAATTCAAAACTTTTTCCTTATTTTTCAACCACACATTCTCTATCAATTTACTATTTTAAAATGCATTCTTAAAAAAAATGAGGCTCAAACGTAGGTGTTTAAAGAATTATGAAGTACTGAAATAAATCAACGCGAGAACGTAGATGACTGACTAAACACATAAAATATAAATACTACATGAGCCATCATTCACGACCAAAGCAGTTAGAAAAAGTTCTTGTCAAGCCACTTATAATTAATTAATTACTTAATCAAATCTAGTGCATAGTTTTTAATTGACCTCAATACGTTTACGCGCATATAATAAACAAATAAATATAATTTAGGGAAATTTGCAGCAGAGAATTCAAATCTTTCGAAAATGTGTAGCAGCTAGCTATGTAACGAACATGAATGTTTTCTTTTTCTTGTTTTCTATTTCTCCTTTTTAATTATTATTTTAATTAATTAAATGTTAAAAGCTATTTTGCTCTCATTAAAATTGTTAAATGCAGGTCAAATGATGATACGTGACATCACACAGTTTAGAAAAATTTAGATATTCCCACCCGTAGTTGTTTCAAACTACAATGTCCGATCTAGTGATACGTGACATCACACAGTTTAGAAAAATTGCATTGGTTGGAGTGAACTGTCATCTGGGTTGTAGCCTGCAATTTAGGTCATCATTATTATTCTTTGATTAGTTGTAGTAGGTGGCATTAGCGTCATGGAAGACACCCTTTTGCCTTTGATTGGTTACAAGGGCCGGTGATAACATCACAGGGGAATATCTCTTTAGTTTTGTCTTGATAGTGATTTTAAACGGCGTTTATTATGAATCGACTTGCTTCAGGGTTGACCTATCATTTATCTTTATTCAAGAACAACTTCTTTTAATTTTTTTGAAGTTGGCCCAAATGATCCGATGTGACCTTTTAAGATCGGATTCAACAAACATTGTTACACAAGACAACTCAAGTTTGTTAGTATTCAAAGTTAGGTTACCTAGAACAAATCAAGAAATATTCGAAATTTCTTTAAATCCTTTGGAAACATATAATAGCACGCCTAGCTGATATATTTCAATACATAAAATGGCTTGCATCAGGTCTAGCATAGACGGATTCTTTCAGATCTAGATAAATGGACTAAAGACAAATTACTATTTTTTATTAACAATTAGTTAGGTGCACAGAGCAATTAAATACTCAAATGACCATTGCCTAGAGGCCTTGATGACCAAAATCCAACATAAAATAATAAGACTACCAATTTTTTACCTACCACCATTAGCATTTGTCATTACTTTACAATTCAATAGAGAGACTCTGCACAAAGAAAGAAGAGACTTAGTACATGTGAAGAAGAACAAGGAGATGGGGCTTACATTGAAGGAAGAATTCTTGGATTTTTTTCTAGTCCCAAGTGGTATACTGCTCATGCTTGGATATCATCTATTCCATCTCCACAGATGCCTATATCTCCCCGATACCACGGTTATCGGCTATGAAAATCATAACAAGAAGGCTTGGGTTCAAAGAATTCTAGAGGTCAGTAGCACTCGACCGTGTTAAAAGAAGTTAAAATCTTGTTTGTTATACTAATCTGGCTATTTGCAGGTTGAAGCCAAAGATAGAGGGCAAGCTATAAATGTGATCAACAGCAATATATCTGCAGCAACTTCACTAGCTTCGATTTCCCTGGCTTTGAGTTCTATACTTGGGGCGTGGATTGGAAGCGCCTCCCACAATGTTTTCTTAAGCAGTCATATCCATGGGAACAAAAGCTCGACCGCTGTTTACATCAAGTTCATAGCTCTTCTTTCATGTTTCCTGTTTGCTTTTGCTTGTTTTATTCAGACCTCAAGGTGTTTTGTTAATGCCAATTTCCTCATAAGCATGCCAAATTGTGAGATCCCTACTAGTCATGTTGAGAATGCAGTTATAAGAGGAAGTAATTACTGGGTAATTGGCTTGAGATCACTTTTTTTTGCCAGCAATTTGCTTTTTTGGATTTTTGGTCCAATCCCAATGTTTGTTTGCTCGGTGATAACAGTAGTGATGTTACATAATCTGGATAGAAATACAACCCCGTTGCCACAGTATACGAATACACCAGCCAGCCATCGCTCAAAGGAGAATGGAAAAGAAATTACTGCAGTTACTAGTGCTAATGATCGTTGTTAGAGATCAGAAACGGCTGGAGCAACATCAGCATCGACTTATGATCTCACTGTGTGTGAAGCAAATCAGCAAATACAAGAGAGAGAACTATAACAGGGATGAAAGAGGATAACTTCATTTCTCTGCACTTATAATGTAAGATCCTACTGCTGTGCAAGTATGGTTTTGCACTTTCACGAAATAAATATCTCTTTTTGAGTTTCCATTTACACTCTATTCTAGAATTCCATCAGAGCAAAACAAAGACATAAAGCCTCAATCCGAAAGAAGTAAGGAAATAAAGGGGATAAAATAGTAAAGGGGATAACAGCCGCTACTACTAGATTCTTCTCTTCCATTATTTCGTACTCTCTGAACTTTAATTCTCCTCGCTACAAGCAATTCCAGAGCCATCTGTACTACCTGACTTCGAATTTGAAAAACTTAATGGTGCTTCGTCTTGACCATTAGACTTTCCCGTAAAGGAGTTGATGGCAAGCTGGCCCGAGTAGAGTAATAAACCTACAGCATTGATGCCAAAAACAAATGTAGCAAGGTAACATATTCCATTCACAATAGTCCTACACATAGTTGATGAAAAGGGAATAGTCAATTTTTATCACAGAGAGAGAATTTCAGGTCAAGTTGCCAAAATTACCTTATAGTTATCGTTATCTGGCCGACCTGTGGAACAGGAGAAAATATGTAGCATTAGTATTGTGAATCATTCATATTAGAGCAAGACCACTTTCACTAAAGGTTTTTTCTCTCTCTTTTTTTTTTCATAAATTAAGACAGCCTTGAGCATAGAAACACATAAATGATATGTCGACGGTTCAAATATCCTTCAAATGTTCCGCCATTGCACCAAAGTTCAGAATTTAAACAAACATCAATCAAGCAAAATTTTAAGAAGCCCCATGCACACAAACACAAGAAAAGGAATGCAGAAAGTAGTGATCACTCAAGAATCATGGATTGACTTTAATAAAATTTTTCCTATTGCTAAATGATAAAACATTATAAGCATCTCTCCAGTTTTAATATTTTTAACTAATTACAAGAGGTGCATCAATCATGAACAAATCCAAAAACCCTAAAGGAAAATAGATATGCAGAACTCCCTAAACCAATATATGATATCTGAGATTTTGTTTAAAACGATAAAATTTGATATCCATGAGCTATTTAAAGAAAAACTTTATAAAATCACGATTAAACTTAGATTAGTACTATACCCAATATTCTGGATACAAATATGCAGTCCAAATGCAACTTATTGATTGATATTGAATTATTATGATAAGCGACATTTTTAATTCCATATGCAATTGCTTAGATTTATGAAGAAAAAGGGCAAAAGGGGATACATGATTCATATGATAGTTGATGCAGCTAAATTGGAGAGCAAACCGAGAAGTTATCTGAAAGCGTCTGTCGATTGAGTGAAGCCTCAATAGAAGTTGTGAATTTGTAAAGAACCAGTGTGATCAGTCCAGCCGTTAACCCTCCCAACAGTGCCTGGACAGGCAAAGGCTTAGCCTTGGCCGTAACGGGTGACAGACACACTGCTCTCAATCTCTCCACTGCCTCTTCCTTCAACGTTTTATTTGCCCCTGATGACCTGAATCTCTAATCAGAGAAAATGGACAAATATTCAGAATATCTATATTAACTCCATAACATAAACACCCTACACTCTCTACATTCACTGTGTCTGTGTAATAAATTGGAATTTAATCTCAAGAACAGAAAATCATATGTACGAGTGGATTAACAAATGCAATGACAGAATCCAAAGCCAACTATATTAATTAATGCAGGTCCTAAGTTTGCACTATCCTGATCTATCATCTAAAAATTGAATCTTGCTAATTAAATATGAAAATAAATCTACTTCTAATGTAATCTTATCAACCAACTGAACTTGTGTACCCTATAAATAAATCATAAAACAAGAATTTGCTAATTATTTGGAAATTCTGATAACAACACTCAAAATTTGAATATGCGTACACAAGCAAACAAAGTAAGTTCAATTCCTTTATACGAGCCAATAAAGGATAAAAAGCAAAAAGTTGTCAGCCCATGGTGAGTATAAATACCGTTTCTTTGGCACGATTGGCGCGGCGGCGGAGGGACCGGAAAAGAAAGACAGTGATGGCACCGGTAAGGAGAACACTGACGGCCGTTTGGAGAGGAGTAGGGTCGTCGGAGGTAGAGAAAATGGGAATTGAGGGTGAGAGTTCAACGGGTCCCTCTTCCAGGGGTGCATCTGCAGAGCTGTAGGTTGTGGTTGCCGTGGTGGGTTCTTCTGAAACTTGGGCAACCGATATTTTGTGGGCTGAGCAGGTACAGTAAAGACTGAAAGCGGTGGAGGTTTTTAAGGAAAGTTGGCTAGAACGTGAAACGAGAAGTGGAGATAAAGAGGGGAAAAGGTATTTCGAGGGGCAAAACGAATTGTTTTGAAAGTGCAACATTCGTAGTGGTTTTGGTTTACAGTGGAAGATTGGTAAGGATTTATGGCAGTTAATCAGTTTACAGTGAAGAATATCTGGAATAAGAGTATCAAAGTAGCCAAGAAAATAAAATTGGGAAACTTACATTTGGAGTGTCTAATCTATGCATGATGGAGCATTTCAGCCCCCAAATCTTTAAAGCTGATGATCATCAAAGCTCCAAGGGCCCATTTTGCATCATTTTAAAAAGTCAAAAATTATTTATAAGACTGAGAAACTGCTTTTGATTATATGTGAATGATTTTTTTGAAGTGTTTTGTTTGGTTGAATTCGACGAAACATATCCTAAGCTTCCGATCTTTCACTATAGACTTTATGTTCATTTTGCAATTGGGTTTGGGGGGGTATTTTTAAATTGAAAATCAGGGTTTTTTTTTTTTTTTGATATATAATCTGATTTTGTAACAATTAAATGGATTATTTGTATCCATTGAGACCTAAAAATACTACAAGGCTGAAAGCTTAGGGACCTAGATGCTTGTATTTAAATGTTGGGACTTAAATTCTCTTCCACGCATAGATTTGGGACCCCGGATATAATTTTCCTGGAAAAACTGAAAATGAATGATTTATTTTTAATTATTGTCTCTTTCTAATTACCATTTTCTGTTTAAAAAAATATCTCTCTCTCTTTTTTTTTTTTTTATGACAAAAATATCTCCATTTTTTTTCACAAGCTTTTCTACAATATTAATAACAAACATGAATATAGAGCCACTTGCAAAATTAGATGTGCTTTCGCCGTTCTGTTCGATTTATTGTTAAACCTGCTCGAATATTAAGAACTTCGTGATATGCGAAAACATAGTAGATAAAAGTAGAACCTAGTGTTAAGTACGCCTATCATCTATGCCAAGATCAGCTCGGTTTTGTGTGTGGGAGTTGCTTGCTTATTCCTTGGGCCAAATGTACATATTTAAGCAACATTATGTGCAAATGAAGTGAAAATCTATCGTTGCATTTAAAAGTAAAAGATTGCAATCAAGAATATCAAAGTGAAAAAACTATGTTGAAATCCATGCTATTTCTGATGTAACATTCAGAGAAGAGCTCGTTGGTTGTANAAATGAAGTGAAAATCTATCGTTGCATTTCAAAGTAAAAGATTGCAATCAAGAATATCAAAGTGAAAAAACTATGTTGAAATCCATGCTATTTCTGATGTAAAATTCAGCGAAGAGCTCGTTGGTTGTAACAAAACATGATAGAATCAAATTCTAAATGATTATTTGGGAACTTAAAACTTCGAATCTTTTTTAAAAGTAAAAATAATCAGCATGAAATTGGTTCAGCAAAGAATGTTCTGAATTTCCCAATATGTTAGAGAAATTGTGTGACAGTGATCATAAATTTGCAAATGGGCAATGCCAATGGCCAAGAGTTTTCTGTCCGATCAACTCATCCCTATGAGTATATATGCAATTGTACTTATTTTATGAAGCTAATGCATCCAAAGTGGTTAAGTTTCAACACTAGGCGCGCACATTAGATGCCACAGCCCTAGCCCAGAATTTGATCTGCGCTTTCATGTCATTGTTCGATCTTTTGTTGACCCATTTTGGAATTGGAGGGGCCGAGCTCTGTCCATGCCACATCTCAGAGAAATATGGTGTCGTTGTTGTCTTCCTCTCTTCGTATTCTTTGAATGTGCTAACGACATTTGGATTTGAGTCTCTTTTGTTGTAACTTGACCTCGAATCTCTACAACCTCGTATATTATTGCTCTTTTGCATCTTTATTGTCTGATCAATTAGGTATTTCTGTTTCATCTCCGAATAGACCTCCATGTCAATGGTTTCTATATCTGGCTTTCTTTGTGGAGAATGCCTTGGTATGCTGGATCTTTGTGTTACACTCTGCAATCCAAATGTAATAACATTAGCCAGAACAATAGTATAAATTTTAGTACACTGGACATTTCTTGGATTAGGTTGGTACAAGGTTATTAATTTGATGTCTTCCATATGACTGGTCCATTAATTAAAGCACTACAAATACATGTAAAGGAGATTGAGCATTACCTTTGGAGCAGGTTTTGTAGGAGTCCCTCTGTCTGAATGATTTAAAGAAGCTTGCCTAATTAACTTTCCCATTGAAAACTCACTCTCTTCATCTTGAAATTCCTCTTCTCCAGAGAAAGTTGGCAAAGACGGTGCACGAAGCAAATCGACACGTTTACCTTGTCCATTCGATTTCTTACGAACACTTCCTCTTTCTGGCATTGATGGTGTCCTCCTCAAATTAGGCCGTTCTAATTCCGTCCCGACGGACAATTTCTTGATCGATTCGTACGTTTCTTCGTATGATTTTTCAGACAAAGTTGCGTTTGAGGAAGTACAAGGATCAGAATAACTTCTTAACATCCTCTTTTTTCTGTCAAGCAAATTGCCAAAGAACCAGCCTTCTTCCAGCAATTCTCCAGGCTCGAGATTTTCATCTTTACTCAAAAAGGGCTCTAAAGATTCTTTAATAAGATTCATATTAGCCACAAATTCACAAGAAAAAA